GCGGCCAGGCTCTGCGGGTGGCCTGGGGAGGGAGTGCATGGAGGAACGAAGGGGCCGAGGGGCGAGGGGCACCAGCTGATAGGTGGGAGCCTCTCGCCTGCTTAGGAGAGTTTCAGCCGTGGTTTGCACAGTTTACTAGGCCTTTGTATCCCTTCTGTGTCTTTCCGTGTGCTTTGCTCTTTTTCTGTTGTGATTAGAGTGGTTCTTATTTATAAGAGCTCTTTGCACATGAGGGTGCTTCAAAAGTTCGTGAAAAATGGAGTTAAAAAGATGCCCATGCATGTGAGGGACCTTCAGAAATTTTCTGTACCAAGATAAACTTAATTATCTTTCAATTCCTTTTTTCCATGAACTTCTGAAGTACCCTTGTGTGAGGGCTCCTTCCTTTTTTTTTTTTTTTTAGAAAAATAACACTAACAGGTATACATAAAGTTTCACAGTATGTCTGTTTGACTTTTGCACATGGCTTCATTTTTCTAGATTTTTCTATATCTTTAAAATATTCTTTTAGAATATTAATAAAAATAAATCACAGTAAAAGTTTATTCAGATATGAATAATCAATATAAACATAATAACTTCAGTATATCCTCAACTTTAAAAAATCCATATGGAATTATGGAGTATATATGATCTATTAGGATTGTTTGTCTACCTTTGGAAAACGCTGTTTTCAAAAAATAAGACAACCTTTTTAGATATTTAGGCCTTTTTTTTTTTTTAACAGTTTAAGAAACAATGATCACATTAGTTTTAATATACCATAACTTGATGCCCTCTATGTTCTCTGTATTGTAAAGAGCTACGGGGCTTTTAATGAAAAGTGAATTGAGGGCTCATTGCTGAAGTCAGTTCTTTGATTATGTAAATCAGTTTAACATGAATGATTATACCACTTGTTCTGCATGCAGTATTTAAAGTCTTAATGTAGAACTTGTTTTCATCTGACAGAATATTAAGATTTATTTATTTGAAAGAGTTACACAGAGAGGGAGAGAGGTCTTCCATCTGATGGTTCACTCCCCAGTTGGCTGCAATGGCCGGAGCTACGTCGATCCAAAGCCAGGAGCTTCCTCCGGGTCTCCCACATGAGTGCAGGGGCCCAAGGACTTGGGCCTTCTACTGCTTTCCCAGGCCATAGCAGAGAGCTGAATTAGAAGTGGAGCAGCCGGATCTTGAACCAGCGCCCGTATGGCTGCAGGCCAGGGCATTAACCTGCTGTGCCACAGCGCCAGCCCCTAAGTTTGAATATTTAAAAACCTAGAAATTAGCTGAAAGCACAATGATTTTGAATAAATTTGTATACGAGAATGAAAATGTTTGTTTTCCACTTGGAGAAATAAGTAATGTTTGTCTTCTCATACTAGGAAATAAGGTAACTATAGCAGAAATAATACTTTAAATACAATAGAAAAGTTCTCACATTTTTTAAAAGGAATAAAGAATTGGATTTATGAGCATAGGTCATAAATATCAGGTAATGTAATTAGTATGTTTTAAATGTAAATTTCCTTTTCCCTTTAATTCCGTGAAGTGCATTTACCATATGCAGGCGGAGTTGAGAGGCTCAGCCCAGCATCCGTGCCCTCTCCCACATGGACAAATGCTTGCCTTCCTAGAACAAGGAGCTGCCTTCGACCCCTTGCTGGGTCACGTGCGGGAACTTTACAAACTCACGGGAAGATGGAATTTAAAGATAAGCTTATTTTGGCACAAAAAGTGTTGAAATCCATGCGTACTTTTCCATAGCACACATTTTCCACGGACATTTTGAAGACTCATTTACCTGAAATGCAGATTTATAATCGAGTGTGTTTCAAAAATTTCTTCCAAACTTAATAAAATTAAACCATATCACCAGGAAATTCCAGATCGTAAAATAATTGCCTTTGGAAGTTTATTTCATCCCTGATCTATGCATGTTTTGCATTTTGCCTCATGATATTTTAAAAAAATATTTTATTTATTTATTTATTTGACAGAGTTAGTGAGAGAGAGAGAGAGAGAGAGAGAAAGGTCTTCCTTCTGTTGGTTCACTCCCCAAATGGCTGCTACAGCCAGTGCTGTGCCGATCCGAAGCCAGGAGCCAGGTGCTTCTCCTGGTCTCCCATGGGGTGCAGGTGCCCAAGCACTTGGGCCATCCTCCACTGCACTCCCGGGCCACAGCAGAGAGCTGGCCTGGAAGAGGAGCAGCCGGGAATAGCATATGGGATGCTGACGCCGCAGGTGGAGGATTAACCAAGTGAGCCACGGCGCCGGCCCCACCTCATGATATTTTAAATAATCAAACTGATAACGTTCACATTACTTTGCAAAGCAGAAAATCCTCTGGAAAATGTGTCCGTAGCACGTCACGGGCACTCCTGAGGCCTGTGACCTCACAGGGCCCCAGGGGAGCCTGGCTTTCCTGGAGAAACGGTGTCTCCTAAGCATCACTTAGATGGTTCGATTATAATATATATTTTATAGTATAATATCATTTTTTTACAGATTTATTTATTTCATGTGACAGGCAGAGTTAGAGGAAAAGAGAGAGAAATCTTCCATCTGCCGGTTCACTCCCCAAATGGCTGCAACAGCTGGATCTGGGCCTGGTGGAAGCCAGGAGCCAGGAGCTCCATCCGTGTCTCCCACATGGGTGCAGGGGTCCAAGCACTTGCGCCATCTTTCGCTGCTTTCCCAGGCCATAGCAGGGAGCTGGATTGGAAAGGGAACAGCTGGGACCTGACTGGTGCCCACGTGGATGCCGGTGATGCAGGCCATGGTTTCACCAGCTGTGCCACAGTGCCAGCCCCCATCGTATCACTTCTGAAAAATCCTTTATATCTGTTCTCTGTGGATTTTGTGCAGTGCGTCTCATCTGCACCATTCTCATGAATGTCCTTGCTTCAGAAATCTCGTGAGCCTGTTAGTGTGGCACCAGCCAGATAGCGTCTAAGGGCCAGTGCTCTCCCACCCTTCCCGGACTGACCGGTCCTTACAGATGTGTGGACCGTGGGCTCCTCAGACCTGCTGACCGCAGCCGGCTGTCACCTGCCAAGAGGTGGTGCAGTCTGTGGGGATATCCGTGCTGCTGAGTGTTGTAATACTGCATGCTTTGGCGAAATCTCACTGTTTTCATTAAAATATCTCAGTATCTCCTTGCTTTTGAGGAAAAGGTTGTTGCCTTCTCGTAACCACGTGATAGTAGACAGTCGTATACCTAGTAAAACCTGTTTGTAGAGAAAGTTTCAAGATGTTGTCTCTTAAGCTACAAAGATTTGGTTTTAACAAAATTGTAAAAAAAATTAAGATAGAATTTACTGATTTTTAGCATGAAATTGAAATATTATAATTTTGTGGGTTTTTTTTTTATTTAAATTTTTTTTTTGACAGGCAGAGTGGACAGTGAGAGAGAGAGACAGAGAGAAAGGTCTTCCTTTGCCGTTGGTTCACCCTCCAATGGCCGCTGCGGCCGGCGCACCATGCTGATCCGATGGCAGGAGCCAGGTACTTCTCCTGGTCTCCCATGGGGTGCAGGGCCCAAGCACCTGGGCCATCCTCCACTGCACTCCCTGGCCACAGCAGAGAGCTGGCCTGGAAGAGGGGCAACCGGGACAGAATCCGGCGCCCCGACCGGGACTAGAACCCGGTGTGCCGGCGCCGCTAGGCGGAGGATTAGCCTAGTGAGCCGCGGCGCCGGCCTAATTTTGTGGTTTTATTAGGCTTCTTGGCTAAAATGTTGATCTTTAAAGCATTCTTGGAATTTGATCAAAGTTAAAGTAATTTAATGTTTTAAAATTATTATAATCTTGAAAGGGTTCATCCTAGGGTATTTAATCTTAAGAATTATATTGCTGGCTTCCTGTTAAAGTACATTCTGTAGCCTAAAAACCACTGATGTTTGTATAACAAAGTTTTTTTTTTAAAGGTTTGTTTATTCATTTAAAAGAGTTAGAGAGAGAGAGGGTTCTTTCATCTGCTGGTTCACTCCCCAGATGACCACAATGGCCAGGTCCTGGGTCTCCCACATGGGTCGCAGGGGCCCAGGCACTTGGCCCATCTTCTGCTTTTCCCAGGCCATGAGCGGTGAGCTGGGACATGAACCAGCACGCATATGGGATGCTGGCATTGCAGGCAGCAGCTTTATCCACTACGCCACAGCACCTACCCCCAAAAGTGAATTTTGCACAGAACTATTATTCAAGTGAATTTTGCACAGAGCTGTTATTCACCAGGGGGAAAACCAATATGAGGTATACTTAGAGCGCAGGACCTGTGGCATCACTGTCTGGGTTCGAATCCCATCCTGCAGGGTTCGCAGCTGTACACGAGTGACTTACCTTTCTGGGTTTCTGCATCTGAAAATACTATTTCTCAGCAGTCTACAAGTCTTAAGTGAAATAGTACATGGAATGTCTTCAGCGTGGTGCTAGCACTGAGTAAGCACCACTGACGTGGCTGCTGTCCTCCTGCGTGCACGTGTGTGAGTGACAAAGCAGGCTTGTGAGGAGCTTCAGATTCCTGGCCCTGGGGTAGTGACGTGTCCACAAAGGTGCCCAGCACCTCTGCTCATTGGGGAGGCTCACCCTCTGCCGAGGGAGGAAGACACCTGTTGCTGATTTGCACAGACGTACCAGGAGACAGGTACCTAGCTTCCTCTGGCAGCTGTCGCCTGGACTTTGATTTTCTACAGCAATGGAAGAGGACCTTGTGTGGGGCTTCTCCCAAATCACCCTCGTGAGTTTCCTGAAATGATAACCTGTAATATTAATTCCCTTAGGGCGGTGTATGAGTATCGCTCTGGTTGCATGGTTGTAGGGTCTGAATATCCATAAACTCTGGCCTGGTAATCAGTTGAAGGAGTAAACCGTCTTCTCAGAACTATTAGGAATGACTCCAGCTGTGTAAGTAGATTTTTTTTTAGCAGAGCATTGGAGCTCTGGTGGGCAAGTGTTGAATCACCAAAGTTAGCAATTAGGCTACTTAACATTGATACTCTTTTTCCTCTTTCCTTGTAGATGAACCCACCAGCCCTAGCATTGACCATGACATCGCACACATCTCCGCTTCTGCTGTCATCTCAGCCTCTACCTCTCAAGTCCCCTGTAGAGCCACTGTCCCTCCCAGCCTCACAACCTCAGCTCCTTTAATTCGAAGGCAACTTTCACACGACCATGGTAGGTTTCGAGAGTGGTCCTGCAAATGGCCCCTCGCTCTCAGCTTCCCACTGAGAACAGCAGGCACATGGATCTTGTCACCAGTAACAGAATCCGGAAACAGACTCCACCAGTGTCTAAATGTTGGCTTTCAATTGCAGACTCCATTGGACCCCCCAGCCTGGATGCCCAGCCCACCTCAAAGACAGAAAGATCCAAATCGTACGATGAGGGCCTGGATGACTACCGAGAAGATGCCCAATTGTGAGTCTCGGGTGTAGCGAGCGCCTCCTCTTGGTGTAGGAGTAGACACTCAGCACAACTCAAACACATAAGTACTGATTTTAGTGGCTTGTATTTTATAACTTTGTAAAATTAGAAATGCAAGTAAATAAAATCAAAGTTACTTGGTAACATACTCAATTAAACCTTAAAAAAATTTCAACAGTCAGGTCATACACAGACATGGTACTAATATATCCAATACTCAGTCCCAGTTACTCAGTTCCACTCTGACATACCCTTGTTACTGTTTGCGTCTAATTCCAGAGTGAACCTATGCATAGAATCACGTATGCCCATGACCTACCCACACGCTTTTATATAAATATATGTGTATGAGTATTTTCATAAACAAATGATTGATGGTATGTGCACAGATTTTAGAGATTCTATTTCATGATTGTTTCATTTCCCATTGAATAGTTGCACCATAATACATTAACCAATATTTTATATCATATTAGTAGACATGTAGTCTATGCTGCCACAATACATCATTGACTATATTTGTGCACACTTCATTTGGCACATGTGTGAGTGACTTGAACACAGGACGGTTACATCAATGGGTGTGTGTATTCTTTATATGAATATCTATTGTTAGATACTGCCCACAAAGACAATGCGAGATCAGATTTGCACCAGCAGTGTGCAGGTCTCTGCTGTTCCTCTCACCTTTGGTTTTCTAGGTGGATCTAATGGTGTCCTATTACAGTTGCAATTTGAAACTTGCTTATCAGTTGAACATCATTTCTTTTTTTTTTTTTTAAGATTTATTTAATTTTTTTGAAAGAGTTAGAGAGAAGTAGAGACAGAGAGACAGGTCTTCCACCTGCTGGTTCACTCCCCAGATGGCTGCAATGGCCAGAGCTGCGCCAATCTGAAGCCAGGAGCCAGGAGCTTCTGCCGGGTCTTCCACGTGGGTGCAGGGGCCCAAGGACTTGGACCATCTTCCACTGCTATCCCAGGCCACAGCAGAGAGCTGGATGGGAAGTGGAGCAGCCAGGACTTGTACTGGTGCCCATATAGGATGCTGGTGCTTCAGGCCAGGGCTTTAACCCTCTCTGTGCAACGTCGCCGGCCCCTGAACATCATTTCGTATCTGAGATATTTATATTCCTTTTTCTGTGAATTGCCTTTTCATTTTTTCTGCCCATTCCCTACTGGTTTTTCTTCTGTGTGCTCTTATGTCAAGGAAACTATTACTCTGATAAATGTTGCAAGTGTTTCCCCAAGCAATATTTTTCGTTTCTGGGCAGCTGTTATGGCACAGTGGAGCCCGCATCCCATATCTGAGGGCTTGGGATGGAGTCCCATCTCTGCCTCTGACCCAGCTTCTTACTAATTCAGACCTAGGAGGCAGCAGGTGATGGCTCAAGTACTTGGGTCCTTGCCATCCACCTGAGAGACCTGGATGGAGCTCCTGGTTGCAGTCTCAGCTGTCACAGGCATTTTGGGAAAACCCGTGGATAGGAGATGACTTTCTCTATCTTTCCCTTTCTTTCTGTCACTTGGCCTTTCAAATAAAAACATTTTTCCATTTTTTAAAAAATCAGGCAAAAAATGTTTAAAACTTTTCTGTGGTCATATTTGTTGTTTGATTATGGTCATTGGATTTTTGAATCATACTAAAAAGCCTGTCCAGAATTAAAACAAAATTCTTCCATATTTACTTCTCAAATGTGCATGGTCTTCTTTTTGGTATACCTACAACTTGGATTTCATCTGGAACTGATCTATTCTCATTAGTGAGGCAGAGCGCCAGCTCATGTGGTCCAGTCTCTCCTGTCGCCACAGCACCTGTTGCGTGGCACTCCTTCCCTCCGATACAACCTGTTCGTGACATACTATTCTGTTCTAGGTCGTGAGTTTTATCTGGGACTCCTCTGCCCGTGTACACCAGCTCCCAGGAGTTCTAGTGGTATTATAATTCTTTTCTTGTCTGGTGGCTATTACCCATCATTATCTTATGGCTCAAATGCAGGTTTTCCATTTCTTGAGTCCTTATGTATATTTTCATTACACAATGTTTAATTTATAATTCAACTTAGAGAATATTAATAATGTTTACGATATTGAACCTTCTGTCAAGAAAGTTTTTTATATCTTTAAGATCTCCTGAAGGTTCTGATTATTTATTGTTCTATAAAATTAGTTATTCTTGGGGGCCAGCATTGTGGTGCAGTGACACGGGTATCCATATTGGAACGCCAGTTGGAGTCCTGGCTGCTCCACTTCTGATCTAGCTCCCTGCGAATGCACCTGAGAAGGAAACAGAAGTGGATGGCCCAAGGACTTGGGGCCCTACCATTAATGTGGGAGACCCGGATGGAGTTCCAGGCTCTTCGTTTTGGCCTGGCCCAGCCCTGGCTATCGCAGGCATTTGGGGAGTGAACCAGTGTATGGAAGATCTCTCTCTATGAACAAGTAAAATAAGCCCTCATAAAAGCAGTTCTTCCTGGACTGGCAGCTCAAGGAGGTTGTGTGAAGTGTGCCCAGGGCGGGGGCCCAAGCTGGCAGGAAGTTGGTTTGTGAGCTGGTCGTCCACCCCCACGTCTCAGAGTCTCCATCACCCTACAGCAGGTGCACACCGGGCCACCCTGCCCTCCTGCCTGTTCCTGTGGGTGCCAACAGGGGAGCAAGGGCTTTGTGATCCCGGAGAACAGGCCTGGTGGTTTTGCTCGGGCCGTGCGTCTCATGCGCCCTCTTTTCCCGTGTCCCATCTGTCTTTATCCTTTGGGTTGTGGTTCAGTTGGTGACTGCCAATGCTGCTGGACATGGGGAGTCACATCTTGAAATTCTAAGTTGCATAAATACAGTTTGAGAATAAAGCAGCCTCATCCCCTGATAAACATTACATGGTTCTGAAGACTGTAACTGATTGAAGTTGTCTTCAGAAGCCCTAGGTCTTGCCTGTTGCAGGAGTTCTCAGAGCTTGTGTGTGGAGGGGGCGGAGGGGACGGAGAGGACGGGGACTGGTCCCTGTGCCATGTGTGGCTCAGGGGCTCCACCTGCCGGCCGAGTGCAGGTGCGCTGCTCTCTGGCGCTGTTTCTGGCCCCTGCTTCGGATCCTAATGAGCATTGTGGGGATCCTTTAGCCAGCACTACAATTGCGGTTAACCAGTAACAGGAAGCCTAGAATTGAGCCTCAGTAGTTCATTCTTCGATCTAAAAGAAAAGAAAATCTCACACGATAGGCAAAAAGATCTTTAATTTACCAGGGCAACTAAGAAAGCTTCTTATGACTGAAAATTCAAAGTTTAAGTATTGGAGGGTGGGTCTTGGGTGTAGCGGTTAGACTCCACTTGCTACTCTGGTTTCCCATATCCGAGGGCCAGGGCTCGAATCCCAGTTGCACTTGTGACTTCAGCTTCCTGCTGATGTGTAGCGTGGGAGGCAGCAGGTGACGGCTCAAGTACTTGGGTCCCTGCCACCGCATGGGAGACCTGGATTGAGAGTTGGGCTCTGACTTGGGCCTGGCCCAGCCCCCGCTGTAGTGTGCATTTGGGGAATGAACCAGTCATTCTGTTTCTATGTCTCTTTCTTTGAAATAAATAAAATCATGTAAAATAAAAAATGCATAAAAGAAACCATCATTCTCACGTTGAACTGTGAACATCTCTCATGGTGATGATTAAATGTCAGCGTATGAAGGAAAGGTTAATTATAATAAATCATGTTTCTATCTTCGAGGTGCTTTTTGACTGATGACAAATGTTTATGTACTTCTTTTCCAACAGGTCTTTTAAGCACGTGTGTAGCCTGAAGGCCATCAAGGTTGGTAGTCAGTACCATAAAGCACCCAGAGAAGGATTTCTGCCCGCCAGCGCGCAGGCGTTTGCTATTTAAACCGATCTTTCCTGCACCAGTGCTTTCGGAATGTTGGTCCCACGTGTGCTTTGACGCATTTTTCTTAATTAGCTTGAAGTACACATTCAAGGCCAAAACCCTAACTGCCCAGCAGTCGTTCGGTATTCGGGGGCACGTTGGCTGCCCTGTGTTGATTTCGTTCCTGCCGCCCTCCTCGCCTCTGCCCTGGCTGCAGTCCCTCGCTGGAGCAGCAGGACCCGCCACACAGGAATCGCCCTGTTCACCGGCTCCGCGGTCGCTCACCGTCACTCAGCCCCACGCGCTCGGCCGGAGCCGCGTCCAACCCCAGTGCCTCTGTGGGCTCTGTCCCCGCCCACCTTCTCCCTCGGCGCTCCTCGTCCACCCCACGGCAGCACTTCCACAGCCTAATTCTCTGTCGTGCGGGCGGCACTTCCAGGGTCCCATTCGCCATCACACAGGCGGCACCCCAAATGGGGTCTTAAAGGGGAACTTTGTTTTGGCTGCAAAGACTCCGTTGGTGCCGCGTGTGCAGTTTCTTGGTGCCTTTTCCAGGCGCTCCCTGAGGCCCCTCCTCCCTGCACAAGTGCCTCCTTAGAAGCCACCGCCCCTATCTTAAAGCTCCCCTCTTACAGCAAGATGTTGTGCAAGTTTGCTTGTAGGTTCCACTCGTCCTGCCCACCCACACACATCAGAATGGCCACACAGCTCATGCCAGAGTTGCTAGGGACTTCCAGACTCCAGAACTAATGGTGACCGTGGGTTTTACCTCCTCTGACCTTGCAGTGGGATCCCCCCAAGTCTCCCACCTTCCTGGAACACTTTGGTACGCTGCTTCTCTCTCGGCGTTCTTTTCTGCTCTGGCCTTTGATGGCTCTGCTCTCTAGCCAGTGTGTCTACACTGCTGGGACGGCCAGCGCTTGTTCCTAGCGCTTGTTCTTTCCCACTCTGATCTCATGCAGAGGCCTCCCAGAGCCCACACTTCTGGCTGCAACCCCTGTGCTGCCGATGTGGCCTGTCTTTTTTGGCAGTTAAGGAGCAACTGGAGTTTGCGCAGACACCAGACCTGGATCCCCCCACCTCACTGTCCCTTGGTTTCCCCCACCTCACTGTGTCGGCTTCCATCCACTCACGTGCCTCGTTTCTCTCTCCTGCTGCCCCATCGGGTCCCGTCCCCACTGTATGCACACATGCTAAGTCTGCACACTTCTCTCCGCCGCCACGTAGGCTTCTTCAGTCCACGCCACCAGCATCCCTCAGCTGCTCCCCTGACCCCTGCTTTCATGCTTGGCCCTTTAGAGCCCTTTCCGCACACGGCAGCCAGGGGGACCTTCACACCGTGGTCAGATCATTCTGCTCCCCCGATTTGCCCCTTCCCGGCTCTGTCCCTGCGTCCATGGCCGACCAGACCCTGAACTCACAGTGAACGGTGGGCGTGTAAAACGATCGCCGTCAGTGTGCCCTCACTGGCTCGCATTCTCCCTGGACGCTGCTTTCCTCGGGCCTTTCACGGGTAGCGCCTCTGAGAGCCCCCCTGCAGATTTCATGCACACGGCATTTTTGCAGCGAGGCCCAGCCTCGGCACCGCCGCAGAGCTGCTACTCGGCCATGACGGCTGCATCTCGCTGCCCCCGGCCTTCGGTGGCACACAACATTACCCTCTCTTTACTTACTTATTTAATTTATTTATTTATTTGACAGGTAGTTATAGACAGTGAGAGAGAGAGAGAGAGAAAGGTCTTCCTTCTGTTGGTTCACCCCCCAAATGGCTGCCACAGCTGATGCTGCGCCGATCCGAAGACAGAAGCCAGGTGCTTCCTCCTGGTCTCCCACGCAGGTGCAGGGCCCAAGCACTTGGGCCATCCTCCACTGCACTCCCTGGCCACAGCAGAGATCTGGACTGGAAGAGGGGCAGCCAGGACTAGAACTGGCGCCCATATGAGATGCTGGTGCCGCAGGCGGAGGATTAGCCAAGTGAGCCACGGCACCAGCCCCACCATCTCTTTAAAACATCATTCACCTTTGTTCATTAAAATGCGTGCTCAAGAGAGCAGGGAAAACACTACTTCAGTTGTCTTTCTAGTGACTAAAAATGCCTTCGGATGACTTTTGCAAAAGGGGGAGGTGCGACAGTATACAGCAGGTTAAACCACCGCCTGGGACACTGGCGTGCTACATCGGAGTGCCTGGGTTTGCGTCCAGCTCTCTGCTGATGCACACGTGGAAGCAGCAGGTAATGACTCCAGTGCGTGGGTGCTGCCGCCCACCCTGAACTCCAGGCTCCTGGCTTTGCCGTGGCCCAGCCCCGTCCGCTGTAGGCATTTAGGGAGTGAACCAGCACACTGAAACTCTCTCTCACTGTTGGTCTGTTACTACCTTCCAAATAAAATGCTTTAAAGAATGATGGCAGTCAATTCACGTTTTTTTAATAAGACTGGACATTTTTGTCTAAAGTAAGTGATAAAGTCAGGGTTTTTCACTTGGAACTTTAGACTTTCTCAGCAAAGGAATTTCAGTGTGCAAATATTTATAAAGGAAGAGGCTGACATTCTCCTGGTTTCTTGGCCTTTTCTGTAGATCACAGACAGCCAGAAGTCATCGGAAGACTCCGGATCTCGGAAGGACTCCTCCTCAGAGGTTTTCAGTGATGCCGCCAAGGAAGGGTGGCTCCACTTCCGGCCCCTCGTCACCGATAAGGGCAAGGTAGGGCTGGGCTGGGCCCCGCGAGCGTCAGAGGGCGGCCTGGTGTCTGCACCTAAGACCACGAGAGGTCTAGGCTGAGGACTGAACATAGTCTTTGGCTACATCAAGGAAAACTGGGAAACTCTTAGCTATTATTATTTGAGAGCTAGAGAAAGAGAGAACGAGGCAGGGACCCAACCAGAAGAACTGACCGCTGGCTCCCAGGGTCCGCAGGAAGCTGTAGTCGGGAGCCAGGGCCGGGTGTTGCGCGCAGGCCCTCTGATGGTGAGAGGCAGGCGCCGTAACCACTAGCCTACTTCTCCTGCCCGCTCGTTAGGAACACTAGTAAGTCTGCTCACAGAGCAGTCCCACAATCTGTGCTTCCCTACGTAGATTCAAATGCAGTAGCATTTTTGCCATACAGCTTCCTTGTAGCAATTGAACAGCTTATGTGTGAGAGCTTTTTAACACTGCCAGAAGAGTTAAAATTTTTAAGAAGTCCTCCTTGGATGTGTTTAGTGTCGCTTAGCCTTGTAAATTTGATCACCTTTGTTAATTCATTATTAGACATTTCTTTGGGGAACTCCTTTTATCATCTGCATGCTCCTGCACTTGTCTCTCTAAGTCTTACTCTCACTCAGAAGGTTTTTCTGACCTTTTTTTTTTCTTATGTCCTGTTCCCTTGGCATTTTTAATACATTTTGCAATATTTGCCTTATTGGAATTACTTTGTTTATCTTACCTTCCCAGTTAAATTCAAGTTGGGGTTTCACCATCCTTGATGTGTATATGAACACACTGCCTCACTTGGTTTGTGCCCCACAATTTTTAACCCTTCCCCTCCTAGCACATGTGTCTGTTAGTAGCTCAGACACCTGCCGCACTAGCGTCTGTGTCTGTACGTGAAGGCAAGCTGTTACCAAGTGTGTTCCCCCAGCCCGGGGGCTCAGCCGAGCAGTAGGTCACTGGCGAGCCTGCGCTGTTTTCCAGAGGGTCGGGGGGAGCATCCGGCCGTGGAAGCAGATGTACGTCGTGCTGCGGGGCCACTCGCTGTACCTGTACAAAGACAAGAGAGAGCAGACCGCTCCGTGCGAGGAGGAGCAGCCCATCAGCGTTAACGCGTGCCTCATAGACATCTCGTACAGCGAGACCAAGCGGAAAAACGTGTTCCGGCTCACCACGTCCGACCGCGAGTGCCTGTTCCAGGCGGAGGACCGAGACGACATGTTGGCCTGGATCAAGACCATCCAGGACAGCAGCAACCTGAACGAAGAGGTGCGTGTGCGTGGTCAGAGCCCGATGGGACGCCAGCCCCGTGTCCACGTTGCCTGCCCACGGCAGCCCGAATCACAACAAACTGTGCCGTGCTCTTGTTTACAAAGTGGGTGAGCACAGGGCCCACTCAGGTGTACCCGTTTTATATTCTGTTCACTCACTGGAAACATCAGTGGGGAAGTCAGGCCGTGGGCTTGGCTGGCCCTGTGCACACTTCATAGTGGCCCTCAGCCCCACAGAGCAGGAGGCCCGGTCCCTCGTCCTTGGCTGGCCCTGTGCACACTTCACAGTGGCCCGGTCCCTCGTCCTTAGCTGGCCCTGTGCTCACTTCACAGTGGCCCTCAGCCCCACAGAGCAGGAGGCCCGGTCCCTCGTCCTGCCCAAGGCCTTTGTGACCACAGGGTTGCAGGGCGGCTGTGACGACGTTTATCAAGCCAATGGCTATGTGAACGCAAAGAGACAGCTAGATGGTTGCTGTTCATGGAAAGATATCGCCTCCTAGAGTACAAAAACTAGTGGGTTTCTACGGAAACTTGTATTAGCCAAAGTCAATTACAAGGCAGGTTTTCTTGTCAGTGATTCATGTGAAGGGACAGTTTCTGATTCCCAGCCAGCAAGATAACCTTCACAGCAAGAACTTCAGAAGTGAAGGTAGTTTTTAAAATGTACGTAGTCATGATCTGTATCAAAAATCTTGCTGTGGTTAACTCTAGCCTTTGCTCGAGCCAGCGTTCATGTTTTACAAATCATTGGTGGTTTTTTGTTTTTTTTTCTTGTACACTCTTCTCACTTTTCAGTCCTGTTGTTATAACCAACAAAACAAGCACAGTTTTTCCTTTGGTCATGGTACTCGGGAACACCTATGTTAATGACAAAGTCAGGCAAATTGTGTTCTTAGTCATTGTCACTAAGTCTGACTCAGAGTATGAAAACTCATACTATGAAAAAAAAATACCTGTGTTCTTTCCCTTAGTAATGTACACTCTTCTTTGTTTGTGGTTAAAAATTAACACCAGACCCATAGCAATACAACCTTAGTTCTGCAGCCACCCACTGTAAGGACGGGATCAGACCTGAGGTTTTGTAATGGCCAGGGAGACTCAGAACTTAGATGTAGCCTTCAGCTCTAAGCTCTGGTTCAAAGGAGGTCTTGCCTGAGAAGCACCTGCTATGCGCCAGGCATTTACAGGCAAAAGGAGGTCTGTGTTCTGATGACTTCCGCTGTGACACAGGGCTGTTTGGGGGACTGAGTGAAGGAACTCTTACAGAGAATGCTGCATGGTGCCTGGCTGATAACACTGTCAGCCACACCACCGCCACCACCACCACCACCACCACCACCACCTCCACCACCACCTCCACCTCCACCTCCACCTTCACTACCACCACCTCCACCTCCACCACCTCCACCACCTCCACCTCCACCTCCACCTCCACCACCACCACCACCACCACCACCACCTCCTCCTCCACCACCACCTCCACCACCACCTCCACCTCCACCACCTCCACCACCTCCACCTCCACCACCACCTCCACCTCCACCTCCACCACCACCTCCACCTCCACCACCACCACCACCTCCACCTCCACCTTCACTACCACCACCTCCACCTCCACCACCTCCACCTCCACCTCCACCACCACCACCTCCACCACCTCCACCTCCACCATCACCACCACCTCCACCTCCACCTCCACCACCTCCACCTCCACCATCACCACCTCCACCACCACCATCACCACCACCACCAATCCTAAGCAAATATTTTTTCTCCCCCCATTTTATGCATGAGAAAATACTTCACTGAGAGTGTATCAAATGTCAGGCACTATTTAAACACATTACACGGTGTTCAGTCACCATTAGAGGGTGCCTGCTATTAGCATCATTCTACGAAGGAGGAAACTGGTGGGGAGAATTTCCCCAAAGCCATGCGGCTGTGTTGGGACTGGGGTTTAAATCCAGGCACTCTGTTACTTTTTTTTTTTTTTTAAGATTTATTTATTTATTTGAAAGTCAGAGTTAGAGAGAGGTCTTCCATTCGCTGGTTCACTCCCCAGTTGGCCGCAATGACCGGAGCTGTGCCAATCCAAAGCCAGGAGCCTCTTCTAGGTCTCCCATGCGGGTGCAGGGTCCCAAGGACTTGGGCCATCTTCTGCTGCTTTCCCAGGCCACAGCAGAGAGCAAATCCAGGCACTCTGATTCTAATTCTTAACTATAGGATTCCAGCTGCTAGGTTGAAAGATTCCATTTAAATTCAATATTGTTTTGCTCCAAAGTTCTTAGTGAACTGTATTAGCATTCATTATAGTCAAAGAGACAAGTTAAAAATTGAGGACTCATGGGGCCGGCATGGTGGCACATTAGGTTAATCCTCCACCTGTGGTGCTGGCATCCAATATGGGCGCAGGGTTCTAGTCCCGGTTGCTCCTCTTCCAACCCGGCTCTCTGCTGTGGCCCGGGAGTGCAGTGGAGGATGGCCCAAGTGCTTGGGCCCTGCACCCGCATGGGAGACCAGGAGGAAGCACCTGGCTCCTGGCTTCAGATTGGTGTAGCTCCGGCTGTGGCAGCCATTTGGGGAGTGAACCAATGGAAGGAAGACCTTTCTCTCTGTCTCTCTCTCACTATCTGTAACTCTAGCTGTCAAATAAATAAATAAAAATCTTAAAAAAATTTAAAAAAATTGAGGACACTTGCCAGTGTGTACTTGAAAGAAAAATGACCACTTTAGGGTAAATTCTATGTTTATCAAATAACATAAAAGTTAACCTGCAGGAGCCGGCACTGTGGCCTAACAGGTTAAGCTGCCACCTGCAGCAACAGCACCAGCATCCCATGTGGGTGCCAGTTTGAGTCCTGGCTGCGCCACTTCCGATCCAGCTCCCTGCTAATGCACCTGGGAAAGCCGTGGAGGATGGCCCAGTGCTCAGGCCCCTACTCTGGGAAACCCAGGTGAAGCTGCTGGCTCCTGGCTTTGGCCTGGCCTTTTGGGGAGTGAACCAGCGGATGGAAGACTTGTCTGTCCCCACCTCTGCCTCTCCTTCTCCCTCTCTGTAACTCCACTTCTCAAATGAACAAATTAATTTTTTTAAAGGTTAACCTAAGTTTAAAAATTTTGTGAAGCTTTTCCACTCTGATAACCTAACTGCCACTTAAGATTCGAACTGACTCTGAATATCGCTGTCCCTGCAGATTAGCCGTTCATAAGTTCTTATTTACTTACTTATTTATTTGACAGGCAGAGTTAGACAGAGAGAGAAAAAGGTCTTCCTTCCATTGGTTCACCCCCCAAATGGCCGCTACAGCCGGCGCTGCGCCAATCCAAAGCCAGGAGCCAGGTGCTTCCTCCTGGTCTCCCATGCGGGTGCAGGGGCCCAAGCACTTGGGCCATCCTCCACTGCCCTCCCGGGCCACAGCAGAGATCTGGACTGGAAGAGGAGCAACCGGGACAGAACCGTTGCCCCAGCCAGGACTAGAACCCAGAGTGCCAGCACTGCAGGCGGAGGATTAGCCTAGTGAGCCGTGGCGCCGGTCCATTCATAAGTTCTGGCAGTGGTTTGTCACTTTTACTCAGTGGTATTTGCAAATGCTGACGGTTATTTCTTGTATTCGTGAGGGGAAAACTCTCTGCTGTGCTGTCATTCATTAAGATCGATAAATAGTCAGCACTTGTTACTTGCTGGAGCTCGTCTAAGTTGTGCACAGAGCAGAAGACTTGGCAGTGGGGGGAGGCGCGTGGGAGCCCTGGCACGTGGCACGGTGATCGCAGCCGAAACCCGGGAGCGGGCGATGGCGATCGCACTGCAAGGACCAGGAGTACAGCGGAAAGCTGTGCACGCACAGGTCGCCTCTGTAGGCTGAGAGCTGACCAGTGTTACCGTCTGCTCCCTCCACAGGACACGGGCGTGACCAACAGGGACCTCATCAGTCGGAGAATAAAGGAGTATAACAGCCTCATGAGGTGAGCGTCCCGCCCCTCCTGCCCGCAGCGCCTCTGCTCATGAAAGAGGGAATCGTGAAGACGTGTGCGCTTCTGTCCACAGCAAAGCAGAACAGTTGCCAAAAACCCCTCGCCAGAGCCTCAGCCTCAGGCAGACTCTGCTTGGTGCTAAATCAGAGCCAAAGACCCAGAGCCCGCACTCCCCCAAAGAGGAGCCGGAGAGGAAGCTTCTCGGTAAAGGTACTGAGCCGTGGCGGCGGCCCCTGGGAGATGGGAGTTGGGATTTGAAAGCCGTGCCCGTGTCTTCTCCAGTCACAGACCCAGCCCAGAGGCCACTGCAGGCCTGGGCTAGGCTAACTGGGCCTTTCCCAGAGGTGACGCCCAGGTGCCTCCGGTCTCTACAGTAAGGAGAAAGGAAAGGAAAACGCAACCCTTACGTAAGAGACCACACAAATATAAACTACACAGAGGAGCCAGGTGCTGTCCTGTTGAAACAGGCCAACCCTTTTCCTGTTGCTAAGAATCTCGTTCCAGGGGGGCAGGCTGAGCTGGCCCTTGGGATGCCTGCCTCCCAGATCCCCACGTTGGGATGTCTGGGGTCAAGCCTGGCTCCACCTCCTCAGCTCCCCGCCAGAGCACCTGGGAGCTCAAGTACCGAGTCCGGCCACCCACGCGGGAGACCCGGATGGCGCTCCTGACTCCTGACTTCAGCCTGGCCCAGCTCCAGCTGTGGTGGGCATTTGGGGGTGAACCAGTGGACGGAAAATCTGCTGTCACCGTGCCTTTCAAATAAACAAAGATGAATAGACAGTATTCAAAAATCTTACTATGCACACGACCCTCTGATTCTGTATTTTTGCTCTTTCTAAAAGAAAATCATGGGACACAGATGATAAATGGGTGAGGAACGGATTATATCAGGAGGGGCGCCCTGTTAGGGGAGCTTGAGGTTATAGGACTGAGATTTATGTGAGCATTGATAAAGGGTTTTGTTTACTTATTTGAAAGGCAGAGTTGGAGATCTTCCATCCTCTGGTTCCTCCCAAATGACCACAGTGGCTAGGGTGGGGCTGGGCCAGGCCGAAGCCAGGAGCCTGGAACTTGGGCCTTCCTCCCCTGCCTTCCCAGGCACATCAGCAGGGAGGGAGGGGCCTTGAACCAGCACTGAGTTATGGGATGTATCCCACAGCAAGAGATTTTTAAAGTCATGATTTAAGCCCTCCTGTTTTTGTCTTGTTTTATTTTGCATAATGACCAAAAGATGATACCAGTCCCCCCAAAGACAGGGGCATGTGGATAAGGGGCATTCCCCAGATCGGGAGGAGGAAGAAGCCGGCTGCTACAGGGACCTTCGGGGTCCGCCTGGACGACTGCCCGCCAGCCCACACGAATCGGGTAGGAGACGCCAGGCCGCCGGGTCTAGCTGCAGGAGGACTGGGGGAGACAGCCTGCCAGACCCCAGAGCCTGGGTAGCAAGCCTGAGCTACTCCAAGTGTGTGCTGAGTGATTGTATCCGTGACGCTTTATCCCAATACACTGATGCTGAGATAGGATAATTAGGCTACCACTAGCAATGTATCGGGAAAGGTCAGTACGCGTCTTGAAACAAGGATGAGAAGTTTAATCCACTTACCTGTGTGTGTGGGTGTGTGTGTGTGTAGCAGCCTCGTTAGGATTCCTATCAGGACTTGATTGGTTTCGCCCCCTCGTCCGATTCCCGACCTGATCCCACTGAACTGTTTGCTTTTCTTTCTTCCTTAGCCCACCGCGCCCCTGAGGGGCCTTCTCTCTGTCTTGGCTTGGGCAGTCTCTTCCCACTGTCTCAGCTACCACCTGCTGGCTTAATGCAGCTCCTGTTCTGCAGTCTGTACTCCTTACTCTCTCTCTCTCTCTTTCTCTCTCTCTCTCTCTATTACACACAGCCCCGTATCTGTTCCCTCCTCTTGGAGGAAAAGGGACTTTTACCTGTGATGTGCAGCTATTCACTAAAGATGAGCCTCGGCTGTCGCTCCCCCTCTTCGTGGAGGAACGACACAGGACCCTGCGCTGTTCTTTCTGTCTGCTCGGCCCTCCCCGGGTTTGCTGCTGGTTCTTCCCGGGTTGGCTACTATCCCTTCCACCTCCGTGGAAGGGCAGTTCCCCCTGGCCGCATTCCCCACTTCCGCAGGGGAGCAGCACACCGCCGGCCGGTTCTCTCGGGGGCTGCACGGGTTCCCTTAGATGTTCCCCATAGATGTTCCTGGTGCGTGCCGTCTCTCCTCCTTTATAGTCCTCTTCCGCCAATCCTAACTCGGCTGCCCACACGCCAAGTACGCTGCTCTCCTCCAATCAGGAGCAAGTCCTACAGTTAATTGGTTGAACTGGAGGCAGCTGTGCGGAAGCTGTTTACTTCTCTCCCAGCGCCATATTGTGGGAGAGCAGATGCATAGAATAAGTCTTAATTCCAGTAACAGTCTAGTCCGGGCTGCTCCCCACAGATCCCCCTTTCTTTTTATTTTTTGGCGTTGATACGCGCCTGTCTTCGGTGTCCCGCGGCACACACTCTGCTCTACTTGCTAGAGTTGCCACAGGCTCTTACAAGTCCTATCAATCAGGAAAACCGAATCCGGGTCCTCTCTTCGCCATTGTGAGGAGGTTTTTAGGCGCTGATGCGTGCCTGTGTTCGGTGCCCTGCAGCGCATGCTCTGCTCTGCCTGCAGGGGACTTACAAGACCTATCAGGCAAACCGAATCCAAGCCTTCTCATTGCCTTATTGTGGGGGAGACTTATTAGTGTTGGTTCGTGCCTATCTTCGGTGACCTGCAGCTCATACTCTGGTCGAGCTGCTTGCTGGCGCTTACCGCCTTAAATCAGGCAGACCGAATCCAAGCTTAATATTGTTGTATTGTGGGGAAGCCTTACTGATGTTAATTCGTGCCTGTCTTCGGTGACCTGCGGCGCATAAGCTGCTAGCTGCCCGCAGGTGCTCATCGCCTCACTTGATTAGGCAGACCGAATCCAAGCTCTCACATTGCAGTGTTGTAGGGAGGCCTTTTTATTTCTCTATTTCTCTATCTCCGGGCATTCCTATTTCTCCCATTTTACTTCTATCTTCCAGCATTCCTATTTTTCTCACTTTACTTCTAAACTTCTGTTTCTCTTATCCCTGCGGCTTTCCGGCACCTCGCCCCGCCGGCGGGTTCCCGGCTCTGCGCCGCTTCAGCCCGCGCCTCATCTGCGCGGCTCGGCTTTGCGCGGCTTGGCTTCGCGCGCTCCGCGGTCTCCACGCTTAACCCTTTCGCGTCTGAACCACAGCCTACGCCAGCCCGTTCCCCATCTATTCACGCCCCGTGCTCTCTCTGCACGCGACGGCTTCCGCGAGTAACACAGCGTAGCTTACGTGTCCGCCACTAGGATTCAATCTAAGTTCCCCGGGCTAGCCTGGCGAATTCAACCCAGCGTACGTCTCCGCCCCACGGTTTGGCTTCCCGTCCTTTGCTCCCCGGGCTAATCAGACGGATCCCAACCTGGCTCACGTTTCAGCTTCTGGTTTCAACTTTTCGCCCCCTATTCCCGGACTAACTTGAGAACCCCAAAGTGGCTTCCGTTTCCGCCTCGGCCTGCCCCCCGCGGCTTCAATTTCCCTAACATTTTTCTCTACCCGGTATGTTTCCCCAAGCTTTCCTCCAACGATATTCCTCCCTCATTTCTCCTGGCCTCTCCCCACAGTCCGCATCCGAGTCTGTTTGTTCTAGCTTTCACTTTCGCTTTCGACCTTAGAGATTTCTCCCAGCTTCCCCCCGTAGTCCGTATCCGAATCTATGCCTAGGCTTTCAATAACTTCTTCCGGCTCCTTTTTCGTCCGGCTTTTCCCTAGGCTGTTTGCTAGTCTCTCTCTCCGATATTAGCCCATTTCTTCCCGTTTCTTCCCTCCTAAGTTTGCTATCCGACCTAGGTTTCCTAATCCGAGTCACGGCACCATTATGTCGCTCCCCCTCTTCGTGGAGGAACGACACAGGACCCTGCGCTGTTCTTTCTGTCTGCTCGGCCCTCCCCGGGTTTGCTGCTGGTTCTTCCCGGGTTGGCTACTATCCCTTCCACCTCCGTGGAAGGGCAGTTCCCCCTGGCCGCATTCCCCACTTCCGCAGGGGAGCAGCACACCGCCGGCCGGTTCTCTCGGGGGCTGCACGGGTTCCCTTAGATGTTCCCCATAGATGTTCCTGGTGCGTGCCGTCTCTCCTCCTTTATAGTCCTCTTCCGCCAATCCTAACTCGGCTGCCCACACGCCAAGTACGCTGCTCTCCTCCAATCAGGAGCAAGTCCTACAGTTAATTGGTTGAACTGGAGGCAGCTGTGCGGAAGCTGTTTACTTCTCTCCCAGCGCCATATTGTGGGAGAGCAGATGCATAGAATAAGTCTTAATTCCAGTAACAGTCTAGTCCGGGCTGCTCCCCACACTCGGCACTGTGTTAAATCAGAGGTTTGTTTCTTCTTTTACAGTATATCCCATTAATCGTTGACATATGTTGCAAATTAGTTGAAGAACGAGGTCTCGAGTATACAGGTATTTACAGAGTTCCCGGGAATAACGCCGCCATCTCCAGTATGCAGGAGGAGCTCAACAAGGGGATGGCCGACATCGACATCCAAGACGATGTGAGTTCGCTGGGCTGTTTGGATCGGTCACTCGGGCTCCCCCGACCCTGCCTTCTGTGGGACTGACTACAGAAATGCTGTTTCTGTTCTGCACACCTAGAAATGGCGAGACTTGAATGTGATCAGCAGCTTACTGAAGTCATTCTTCAGAAAACTCCCGGAGCCTCTCTTCACAAACGGTGAGTCGGCTCCTGGGGCAGGCACCTACCTGCGCAGGTGGCTCAAAGCAGGGCCGTTGGACAGCCACGGGGTATCGGGTGGAACCAAGGGAAAACGCTTCTGCAGAAGGCAACGGGAGGTTTAGTTCCGTTCTTACTTATCTTAGAAGCCTAGTTATGTAGTACTGGTTGTCATTTGGGTTTTTACTTCTTTTAAATTTTGATGAAAAATAGTTGTGTTTTTAAGATTTATTTAAAAGGCAGAGACAGATATTCCATCTGCTGGTTTATTCCCCAAATGGCTGCAACAGCCAAGTCTGGGCCAGGCTAAAGTCCACGGAGGTGGCAGGGCCCCAAGCACTTGGGCTATAACGCCAGGAAGCTGGGTTGGAAGTGGAGCGGCCGAGTCGCAAACTCGCTGTGTGACCTGCGTTGCCGGTGTCCCGGATGCCGGCCCCCAAAAACTAGTTTCTAAAGTGTTATTTAGGTTGAGTAAAATAAACACTATCCAGTTCATCCATGTTTGCAAGCAAGTGAAAGCCACGTTACTGCTTTCAGTCAAGACCTTATTGTGGTAAGGTGGAAGTAACATCTTAAGCGAGAAGTGTTCCCTCGGGAAAGCCCACTGTTGGCCATGGAAAGCATTGTCCTCGGTGTTTCTGGGGAGTGGAGGAAGGACAGACAGGCAGCGTGGACACGCAGGCGCAGCACGGCTCCATCAGGAGCCTCGAACCTCAGCGAACGTCCTGCCGTTTGTTAACAAAGCGTAGAGGACCATTAAACACCACAGCTCGAAACGTCAAGTTTTAGAGATTTACTGTGCAGAGGCAGTTGGGAGTCTGCCCTGCGTTATTTTTCTTGTCGTGATTTAAAATTGAGCCTTAAAGGAAAACTACTCCGTTCCCCTAAGCCACTTAAGATACATTTTTCCCTTATTCTTGCTGTTGTTGTCAGATAAATACGCCGATTTCATTGAAGCCAATCGCAAAGAAGATCCTCTTGATCGTCTGAAAACATTGAAAAGACTAGTAGGTACTATTTTATATATTTGGAAGTACAACTAGAATTCAGCAGGTAAATCTATCTCGAAACTGCTGTGTTTCAGATTCATGATTTGCCCGAACATCATTATGAAACACTTAAGTTTCTTTCGGCTCATCTGAAGACAGTGGCAGAAAATTCAGAAAAAAATAAGGTAGGTGAAGTGTGTGTTGAAGAAATGGGCTTGATTTTTTTTTTAAAGATTTATTTATTTATTTGAAAGAGTTACACAGAGAGAGAGGTCTTCCATCCGCTGGTTCACTCCTCAAATGGCTACAATGGCTGGAGCTGGGCCAATCCGAAGCCAGGAGCTTCTTGCAGGTCTCCCACGCGGGTGCAGGGGCCCAAGGACTTGGGCCATCATCTACTGCTCTCCCAGGCCATAGCAGAGAGCTGGATTGAAAGTGGAGCAGCTGGGACTCGAACCAGCACCCATATGGGATGCCGGCACTGTAGGTGGTGGTTTTGCCCATAACGCCACAGCGCCGGCCCCAGAAATGGCTTTATTTTAACAGACAAGCTTCAGTGTTTCATGCCAGATAGTCAGCGGTGGGTTCACAGGGCAGGGGTGTTCAGCCTGGTGATTCATGTGCCCTCCTCCCACAGCCAGGTACCTGGGTTCACTTCCCAGCTCCCTGCTGCCGCAGACCTGGGAAGCAGTAGGCACCTAATTGCACTCTTGCCACTCGTGTGGGAGACTTGGGCTGTGGCTCCAGCTTTGGCCCTGGACTTTGTTGGCATTTGAAGAGTAAGCTGATGGGCGCTCACTCTGTTTCTCAAATAAAAATTCTTTAAAAGTTTGATTCACCAAAAAGGCCTTGATTGCTCCTAAAAGCTAAGGGTTCCAAAATACCAGTTGTTAGCATTTTTTAAAAAAAAGTATCTGTGAGGCAGAGAGACAGGTAGACAGCCAGCTCCACCCACTGGTTCATGTCCCGGATGCCCACAACAGCCAGGGTTTGGCCAGCCCAGGGCTGGGAGACAGGAATTCAGTCTTGCCTCTACCTGGTGGCAGGACTTCAGCACTGGAGACAGTACACGCTGCCTCAGGACCCGGAGCTGGGAACCCGTCCAGGAACGTGACCGTGGAACAGGGCTGTGTTCACTGCTAAGTGAAGTGCCCGCCCCAGGGGTCAGCGTTTTAAAAAGATGCTTGTGTTTACTGTTAACCAGCTAGGTCAGAAATTCTGTGCTGGGTTTTTCAGCCATGTATCATTAGATAACATATGCTCATGATAACAACAGGCAAAAAGCATCAAATAGTAGACAGTGAAAAATAACATCTTCTTCCCAGCAGGGAGCTGGGTCAGGACCAGAGCAGCTGAGACTCAGGATGTGACACTGGGATGCCAGTGTCACAGTGGCCGCCTAGCCCAATGGGCCACGACGCAGGCACCACGTTCAGCTTTTCTTGAGTATAAAAGTCTTTTGGGCCAGTGCCGCGGCTCACTAGGCTAATCTTCCACCTTGCGGCGCCGGCACACCAGGTTCTAGTCCCGGTCGGGACACCGGATTCTGTCCCGGTTGCCCCTCTTCCAGGCCAGCTCTCTGCTGTGGCCAGGGAGTGCAGTGGAGGATGGCCCAAGTGCTTGGGCCCTGCACCCCATGGGAGACCAGGAGAAGCACCTGGCTCCTGCCTTCGGATCAGCGCGGTGTGCCGGCCGCAGCGCGCCGGCTGCGGCGGCCATTGGAGGGTGAACCAATGGCAAAGGAAGACCTTTCTCTCTGTCCACTCTGCCTGTAAAAAAAAAAAAAAGTCTTTTGCAGCTGTGTAAATCAATATCCAGCCAGCGTCTCACGTTATTTTTGGTCAGTATGTTGTAGTTTGTCGTCCCCCCCACAACTTCCTTGGGTCACCGATGCCTGTTGCCTAAATCTCAGGTCATTCCAGGTTGTAAAAGGGTGGTTTTCTAGCTGGAGGGCATCCCTCATTCAATAGCCAAGCAGCCCTTCTGGTTCCGGGGAGGGACTGCTGCTGGACGTGCGGTGGAGTGCAGCCTTCCAGGAGGCCAGGAGTGTGCTTCCCCGGGTGTTGTTTTTTATTGGTTTGGGTTCCTCCCCCTGCCCACAAATGTGTTTAGAATTGATGAGTCAGATCCTAAGTTCAAAATACTGTACCAGACACTGTAACAGGAGATTAAAACATTTAAACCTCTGATATATGAAGAATGCAAAGTATCATGGAAATAGGTGTACAAGCAGGTAAGTCACAAAGCTAGGCAAAGAGCTTCAGGTTTGGTTAAAGCAGAAATGGGCCAAAAAATTACAGACATTTGGGTTTATTAATTATTCTTTAAGGATTAATTTTATTAACTTGACAAGTGACAGAGACTGTTCACTCTCCAAATGTCTGCAACTGCTGGGGCAGAGCCAGATTGAAGCCAAGAGCTCATCCTCTTCTCCCACGGGGGTGCAGGGCCCAAGCACCTGGCCCGCCTCACTGCCTTCCCAGGCCCATTAGCAGGGAGGCTGGGTCTCAAACCTGCCTTCCATTCAGGATGCCAGTGTCACAGGTGGTAGCCTAACCCACTCTGTCAGCCTCTGGATGCTTGTCATCTTTTTTAAAATTATTTCTTATTTATTTTAGAGTCAGAGTTACAGACAAGGAGAAAGGTCTTCCATCTGCTGGTTCACACCCCACATGATCACAATGGCCAGAGCTGGGCTGAGCCAAAGCCAGGAGCTTCTTCCGGGTTTCCCACATGGGTGCAGGGGTCCAAGCACTTGGGCCATCTTCTACTGCTTTCCCAGGCTGTAGCAAAGAGCTGGATCAGCCGGGACTCGAACTGGAACCCATATAGGATGCTGGCACTGCAAGTGGAGGTTTAGCCTACTATACCACAGTGCCAGCCCCTATATATGTATATATAAGATTTATTGCCGGCGCCGCAGCTCACTAGGCTAATCCTCCGCCTAGCGGCGCCGGCACACCGGGTTCTAGTCCCGGTAGGGGCGCCGGATTCTGTCCCGGTTGCCCCTCTTCCAGGCCAGCTCTCTGCTGTGGCCAGGGAGTGCAGTGGAGGATGGCCCAAGTGCTTGGGCCCTGCACCCCATGGGAGACCAGGAAAAGCACCTGGCTCCTGGCTCCTGCCATCGGATCAGCGCGGCCATTGGAAGGTGAACCAACGGCAAAGGAAGACCTTTCTCTCTGTCTCTCTCTCTCACTGTCCACTCTGCCTGTCAAAAAAAAAAAAAAGATTTATTTATTCATTTTGAAAGAGAACAAGATTTTCCATCCACTGTTTCACTCCTCATGTGGCCAGAAAGGCCAGTTCTTGGCGAGAGCCGGCAGCTTTTATTTGTATCTCCCATATGGGTGCAGGGGCCGAGGGAAAACAAGTTATGTAGAGATTTTCATAAGCAAATCCTAACTGAAAAGTATTCCATTGTTCTCTCTTCAGTCAGCCCTTCTTTAAATTCTTTTCCACCAGAAGAACCTGTCAGAAATTAAATGCCAAACCTCCAACAGAAATGTCAGTCTGTCAGGCTGGGGGTTGGCACTGTCGTGCAGTGGGTGAAGCCACCCCTTCCAATGCCATCCCACATTGGGATGCTGGTTTGAGTCCTGGCTGCTGCACTTCTGATCCAGCTTCCTGCTAATGTGTTTGGGAAGGCAGTGGAGGATGGCCAAGGAGGAGACCAGGATGGAGCCTGGCCCAGACTGGCTGTTGCTGCCATCTGGGGAGCAAACCAGCAGATGGAATCCACCGCCACCTCTCTCCCCCTCTCCCTGTTACTCTGCCTTTCAAGTAAATAAATAAATCTGTGTGTGTGTGCGTGTGTGTGTGTGTTTAAGAAAGGCAGAGTTTAGAGAGAGAAGCAGAGACCAATCTTCCATTTGGTGGTTCACTCCTCAAATGGCCACAGTGGCCGGAGCTGGACTCGTCCAAAGCCAGGGGCTCCATCCTGGTCTCCCACGTAGGCAGCAGGGGCCCGAGCACTTGGGCCGTCTTCCACTGCTTTCCCGGTGCGTTAGCAGGGAGCTGGATGGGAGGTGGAGCAGCCGGGACTCACACTAGTGCCCACATGAGATGCCTGTGTCGCAGGCACTGGCTTTACCCACTACGGCACAATGCCGGCCCCAAGTAAATAAATTTCAGCCTACTTAAGAAAACGCCTGATATTTTCCAGTGTTCTCCTTGCCTTTCAGATGGAACCAAGGAATTTGGCCATCGTTTTCGGTCCAACTCTGGTGCGGACATCAGAGGACAACATGACGCACATGGTCACCCACATGCCGGACCAGTACAAGATCGTGGAGACGCTCATCCAGCACGTGAGTGTGCTGGCGCTCGCTGGGACAGGAGCTGCTTTCCCATAAATACCTACGGGTCCTCTGACGACTTGCCTTTTCTGCATAGTTAACTTTCAGGGGATTCATTTCTCTTTTCGCCTTTCAGCATGACTGGTTTTTCACGGAAGAGGGCGCCGAGGAACCACTTGTAAGTATCGCCCGTCAGCACGTGTGCTCAGTTTCTTTCCTTTGGGACGCGAGCACCTGCTGCTCCAGCAGTGGCACCGCCCCGCTCCGTGCGCTGGCGTCTGCTTGGCGCCCCGGAAGCAGGTCTCTGACGGAAGGGGTAACACAGGTGCTCCGTGCAGGGCCGTGTCTGTCACTAACTGTTGTTTGAATTTTGAAGAGAGTTGTCTGGGAAGCGATGATGAAGAGATCTTTGTTTGTTAACCATAGACAACAGTACGGCAGGAAAGCACAGTAGAGTCGCAGCCAGTGCCAAACATAGATCATTTACTCAGCAACATTGGAAGGACAGGAGCATCCCCCGGAGACGCATCAGGTAACTCTCGCCAGGGCGGTGTCGACAGGTTCACCCCCGCGCAACAAGAGTCGGTCACCAGTCACAGCTCACTGTGATGGTCTTCCTTTTTTTTTTTTTTTCCTTTCTACTAAGTTTTTCCAAAAAAGTAATCTTTCTTTTCTGATTGACCTCAGTTATCTTCCCGTGACTGTGGAGCCATTGACAGTGCATGGAGTTGTAACGTTTGTCAGAATGGAGATAGGGGGAAAGAGCATGCAAACCACTGTTCTGTTCTGTTTTTTTTTTTTTTCTCCAAAATTCACAGTTTCCATGTAATAGTCATCACAAGGTAAAAGATAAACGCTGCTGCATCTGTGGCTGCCCTGATGGCAGAAGGCACGGGCTACGCGACAGCCCGTGTGGTTTTTGCTCCTGAGCCAGGCGCTCTGTCTCCAAGCAGCAAGTTCACACGCTGAACTGCTGAGGGCGCTGTTGTCCCACGGACAGAGCGCTGTCCCCTCTGTAGCTGTCACAGCCCAAGGCTGTGTGTGACATCTATCCTCTCCTGTTTCCTACTGCCATCCTACTGCCGGGCTAAGTACGACCGGTCCCAGGCTCTTGATGGCGCCCTCTCCCGCCGGACTGTCGCACGAATCAGCATGCTGTTTGACACGATGTTCTCCCTTTGTCTCTAGTTCTTGTTTGAGTCCTAAAGGGTTTTTCTCAGCACTTACTGACACAGGCAACTCTATACTGACGTTGCACAGGCGAAGTGGGAGGAGTCTATCACACGGTAATGTCACTAGTGGATTCTGTGATGTCCCTGATGGACAGCTGGAACTGTAGGAGGAAGGACGATTGCTGTCCACACTGTAGCTGCTTTGTCTGCAGAAACCCCCGGTTCTTGTAAACGCGGACAGAGCTGATCTGCGTGGAAAGTCTCTCTCAGATTACTGCCAACAGATCCATACTACTTTCTTAAAAGTTTTTCTGCTGTTTCTTGTTATTTCTGAAGCAGACCCTGAGGAGAAATAGCATGGTATGGTCCACCAGTTCTTAACAGTCATAAAGCATTTAGCCATGTGTTAAAAAAGGGGCGTGGCACGGGGCTCAGCTCATCAATTCTGAACAATCAATTTCCCTCAAGTTGAAAGATAAAATTCCAAAAATTGGTATTAAACTGGACGGCGCTAGCCCCTTCCTACCCTCTTTATAATTGTATAGCCTGAGTTTTTGCCAGACAGTAAAAATTATGGTCTCCATTGCTCCATTTCCATAACGGCGCTTGGTAATAGATATTAATTGCAAAACTGGTAGCAGTTTAACCAGACTAGCCAAACGGACCCCTGGCTGCAGTGATACGAAACCGGGGTCGAAGGCTTACGTCATCCAGCAGGTGACCCGGAACCAGGGCTACCCTAATGCCATCCATTCGCATGCAGCTCACGCTTGCAAAATTTAAGTCTGACAAAAATCAACCTCAGTGACCAGTACGAGCGTCTCGATCTGTAGGGAGGGCAGCCAGCGGGCTTGCCCGTCCTACATCGTGTATCGGTTTCGGATACAGGATGTGGCACCTAAGACGGTTCTGAGGAGGTCTTCAGGCTTCTACTCTGTTGCTCGAGTTGAGACTTAGAAACCCTAACCGACGCCAGTGTTTCTGTTTCTGTTGGGTGCAGGGCTCCTTTGCCATGCCTGTCACTGAGCTGGTCCTGCCTACGGTTCCACGGCACCCTTTCATGCCAGGGGCTTTCTGTGGTGCAGCTGGCATCTTTGTGAGCTCCGACTGTCCACTGTGTTCTCCGGTTTTGTTTGAGTTTGGCTTTCCCATTGTGTCCTCGTGCCTGTCCCATAAGTTTTTGCATCGTTTGTTGAAAGCCGTTAACACTGGCTACTACTGACTGTGTTTCCTTTCGCTCTTCACAGATTCAGCCACTAGTGACTCAACAAAATCTAAGGTAACTTGTTCCGGGTAACCTGGAACTATCTGGATGGGTGGGGGTTGCGTGTTAGGGGCTTAGTGCTGCGACAAAAGTGCATCCCCGCCTGCTGTCTGATGCGGCAGATCAACAGTCTAATCGATGGGCAAGTTAATTCTCGAATCTAGGAATACTGGGCGGGAATGCAGTGTCCAGCATCATGAGCCCCCGCGCCCTCCTCCCATGGTGCTCAGTGCCCTCCCACCCCCCCGGCACGAAGTTAGCCGCAGAGGCCAGAGCGCTCTGTGAGGTCCTCAGTCGTCTTAGGAGCAGGTGCTGTTACTGCAGTTCTTATGGGGAATACACGCTCCCGCCTTCCTCTCAGCCACACAGACACTGCACAGCTCTGAGGAATTAGATGAGCTGTAGTGACCAGAGCTGGCAACGGACTTCCTGAAGCGTGCCGTCATCTTCTCACCCCAACTGTGTGCACTGAAACTTTTCACACATACCGAAAACCTCCCAGGACGAGAGCGCGCAGAGCTCCCTTAGACAAATCGGAATTCACCGAGGAATCTGTCTGTATCTGTTCACTTTTTTCCTCAATCGCCTGAGAGTAGAGACACTGGCCTGTAACTATAGTCGGGAAACTAACATGAGTGCGATGCAGCTTATCTAGTGCGCATGTCTACACAAATCCCCCAGCCGTGTCAGTACTGTCCTGTTTCTCTACACAGGATGCAGTCCTGTCTTGTCACATTTCTTTTACCTAGAACAGTGTCCCAAGCTTCTAATGTTCAGCCAGGACCTGTGGGAGGCCCCTTGCTCCTGCGGCGCAGTGGGTATCCGGCCGCTACACCCGTGCTGGTGGCCTCTTGGTGGCAGAGAGAGTCACTCAGCCCGCCCACACGGCTGTGACCGCAGGAGCCCCCACCCGCCGGAGCAGATACTGTCCTGCACACCCACCCCGTCCTCACCCCGCCAGCCTCCCTCTCCTCACTCGTTACCAAAGCAGCAGCCTGTTTTTACGCAGTGTAAGCTAGGCTAAGATTCTGATAGCCATAGAGAGAGACACTGTGTGTTACTCCCCGTGCGTGTGGCCCGTCTGCTGAAGCAGTGTGTGTGCTAACCCAGCGAGTGTCTGGTGCCCCTGGCCTCAGCCACTCCGTGAGCACCTTTGAACGGAGCGCACAGGTTGCCCCGGCCCAGTGCACGGAGAGGCCTCCGCTCACTGACCCCCTTAAACTGAGAAGTTCCCACAGGGCTTGGCTTAGGCAAGGAGGGTCCCTGACCTGGAGGGGCTGTTCTGATACAGCGCCTGTCATCGGACAGCCACCAGGAGTATGAGCTCAGCTCCCCGGGAGCAGCAGTTCGCTCTTAACCCTGAGCGCCAGACGAAGGGAACTGGAGAGAGCAGGGAGTGTGCGCGCTGCGGGAGCCCAGGGAGGCCAGCCGGGGTCAGGAGAGCTGCGGGGCCCCAGCCATGGGCTGCTGCGGGGCCAGCGCTGGCTGGGGGACGCCCCGGGCTCCCGCGCTCACAGCCTCTGTGTTTGCGTCTCCTCGCAGGGCTCTTGGGGACCGGGAAGGGAGCAGTACAGCAGGGAGCTGCTGGTGACCTCCATCTTTGCGGCTGCCAGTCGCAAAAGGAAAAAGCCCAAAGAGAAGGCGCAGCCCAGCAGCTCGGAGGACGAGCTGGACAGCGTGTTCTCCAAGAAGGAGCCCGGGGCGCAGGGCCGCGAGCACGGCCGGGCCGGCGAGGCCGCGGGCAGGACGCCGGGGGCCCCGCGCAGCGCCAGCCCCAGCCCGGAGGCCGCGCCCTGGGCCGCGGGCCGCCTGAGCCCCGAGGCGCGCTCCGTGGCCGAGAGCAGGGGCGAGGAGGCGGACGACGAGAGAAGCGAGCTGGTGAGCGAGGGGCGGCCGCCCGAGAGCGACAGCGAAGGCGACTTCCCCGCCTGCGCCGCGCCGGGCCGCCGGGACTCCGAGGGCAGCGAGGCCAGCGGCCCCCGGCCGGCGGCGGCGCGCGCGCACCAGCTGCTCGAGGGCGACACGCTGGCGCGGAGGAAGGCGGCGCGCCTGCGCTCGGACGGCGACGGGGACGCGCCCGCGCTGGCCCGCGTGCTGGACGCCATGCGGCGCGGCCGCTCCACCGGCAGCCTGCCGCCGCCCGAGCCCACCTGGAAGAGCCGGCTGGCCGAGCGCCTGAAGCTGCGGACCCGGGCGCCGGCCGACGACATGCTGGCCGGCACGGGCACGCCGCCCAGGCCGCAGGCCGAGGCCGCCCGCCGCAGGGGCGTCCGGCGGCGCCACACGCTCGGCGGCCACCGCGACGCCAGCTTCTGGAAGGAGCCCGAGCTGTCGGCCGTGACGCGGCTGCAGCCGCGCTGCCCGGCCCAGGACCTGTCCATCACGCACTGGCTGGCCCGCGAGCGCCTGCGCACCAGCACGCCCGACCTCAGCACGCCCGGCGGCCTGGACCCCGCGCCCGTGCCCGCGCCGCGCCCCGCACCGCCCGACCAGGTCAACGGCGGCGACGGCTTCCCGGGCGCGAGTTGTGCGGCCGCTTCCCAGCCTCCCGCGCTGTCCGGAGCGGCACAGCCGCACCCCTGCCTGTAGGGGCGCCGCGCGTGTAGATAGCAACGTATAAATATGTATATTTAAGAGTCTATGGAGCGGTGTATACAGATGGGCACAGTATGGTCGCAGCCCCCACGCGCGCGTCTCCATCACTGACACAAGTGCCTCATCACACACACGCGTGGATTGTAGGGTGCCGTGGGAAGCGAGTGCATTTAACACGGGTGGATCCCACCTTCCATTCTGCAGTCATTCCAGGGGGAGCGGAGTTTTATATTCAAACTTTTAATACAGTTTTTGAGTTTTGTGTGACTTGAATTTTTAATCTCTGTAAAATACGTAACTTAAATGAACATATTATAAGTGTATCTTTTCTTCAGATACCAGATTTGATATAAATGTTGTAACATAGGCGTGTAGATAGTGGCTCCTGGACAGAACTGGCTCCTTGATGGAGAAGAGTTAACTCTGCATGAGGATCTAACGACTCCAAACCTGTGTCCTGCCTGTGTGCACACCCCTTAAACACTGGAAATAAAACTGTTTTGGTGAACTTCGCATGGCTGGAAAGGGAGCCTTTTTCAGATGCCACCATCCCCACCTGTCTGCGGGGACTGACGGGTCCCCTGCCTTCCCGCCCTCCCCTCTCTCGCGGAACCCTAACCTCGCTCCCGGCACGGATCCTACTAACCTTTCCCGGCTGGGGGGACGGAGGTGGCGCTTGGTAGGAAGGAAGGACAGGAGTGTGGGAGTAGCCGGCTGTGTTAGATGGGATGAATTATTTAACTCCCTGACTTTGTTTCCTTAGACAACAGCAGCACCCGGTAGGCGGGCGGCTGCTGGATGTAAACGAGACACAGAACCAAGCACAGAGCCTGCTGCACACTAGTTACAAAGTCCAGCAGAGCTGCACTCTGAAATAATCATTGAATCTACCGATTCTCAGCTCTCAGACTCGGTCAAACAACTGTTGTTGTTTTAACTCAAAAAATGTGGGGGCTGGCCTTGGGGCCCAGCAGGTTAAGCCGCCGCCTGCAGCACTTGGAATCCCAGATGGGTGCCAGTTCAAGTCCCAGCTGCTCCACTTCCCATCCAGCTCCCTGCTAATGAGCTTGGGAAAGCAGTGGAAGATGGCCCAGGTCCTCGGGCCCCTGCACTCACGAGGGAGACCTGGAAGAGGCTCCCGCATCGTAGTAGCTGGCATTTGAACTGGCACTCCAACATGCCATCCTGGCATTGTAGACGGCAGCTCAGCCCGCTGTGCCAGCCCCAGCCGTGTACATGTTTAGCAGTGGCGTCACTGTGGTTTCAGTATGGTGTGTCTGAGTCTTGCACAATTCTGAATGTCCTGCCTCACGTTATCGTAGATGGAAAACCTAGCTAGAGTGATCTGAATTTAGGGGACACCTATTTCCAGGCACACCGGGATAGTTCTCAGTAGACCAGCACTCCAAGGCAGGACAAGTTAGAAATCCTGGATAAAACACACAAGCCACACCTGGAGAGCTGTCAGGGCAGCCAGGAGTGCGAGAGACAAAATCCAAGGCCAAGGGGAGCGGACAGCATACCTGGGTGTGCTGTTTTTCTTCTTAGGCCTACCTACAGACGCACGAACGCGGGGCCTGGGGGCCGGCACCGCCTTCCTCGCCGGCATCCCTTAGCAGGAGCGCAGGTTTAAGTCCTTGGCTGCTCTGCTTCAAGTACAACTCCCTGCTAAGTATACCTGGGAAGGCAACCGAAGATGGCTCGAGTCCCTGGGCCCCTCCCACACACGTGGGAGACCTGGATGGTGCTCCTGGCTTTGGCCTGGCCCAGCCCTGGCTGTTGTGGCCATCTGGAGAGTGAACCAGCGGATGGAAGTACGTGCGCTCGCTCACTCGCTCGCTCTCTTTTAAAAACAAGAGGACACTGGAGACTAGGAAATTAGGTGTGTGGGGGAGGGAGCTAAGCAGCAGGCTCTTGGCAGTTTTCTGGAGCTGGGAGGTTGAGTGTGGGGCAGGAGAGACAGAGTGAGTCGATCCCAGCACAGGGACGGGAGCCCCGAGGTGGGCGAAAGCGTGAACAAGCAAGAGCCCCGAGGAAAGGCAGGTGCGGAGCAGAGAACCCCGTACCCTCTGGGCTTCCCTCGAGGGACTCTGCATGAGGGACTTGTTCAGGGCAGAAGGCAAAGAGGCTAAAAGCAGGTAAATAAGTGACTAAATAAAACCAGCCCGGCAGTCTGTGGGGGAGGGCGTCCTCCAGGCCACTGGCCAGGTCTCCGTGCCGTCCTGCCTGCGTCCCCAGTCTCTTCAGAGGAAACACCCCAGCGATTGGCTCCTCTCCTTGTAGAGATACACACCAGGAGTTCCATTTAAAAAACAGAAACAGACCCCCACCAGTGACACAGGCGATAATGTTGTTAAAACAATTTGTTGTAAATAAAGAATTTATTTGAAAGGCAGATTTAGAGGGATAGACAGATCTTCCGTCCTCTTGTTCACTTCCCAGATTGCCACAATGGCCAGGGCTGGGCCAGGCTAAAGCCAGGAGCCAAGAGCTTCCTCCAGGTCTCCCACTGGGTGCAGGGGCCCAAGCACTGGGGCCAACCTCTGGTGCTTTCCCAGGCACATTAGCAAGGAGCTGGATCAGAAGTGGAGCAGCTGGGACTCGGAACGGTGGCTTAACCTACTATGCTACAATGCTGGCCCTGGAAATAGGTTTTTAAATACCTATAATTGGATGTGCAAGAATTGGGTGAGGAGAGAATTTCACAGGAAAATTGGATAGGATGCATACAAAGAAAACTTGTATCAAAGTAATAAGTTCAACATTGTAACATTTAATAAATACAAAATAGCATAACCAAAATTAAGGGTTATAGTTAAGATTGGACACGCCTAAAAGATAATGAATTTGAAGCCAGGATGGTAAAAGCAGAAGGGAACATGGAATACGCCACATTGGTGAGCAGGACGAAGTGAGCCCCGGAAAAGGCTGAGAGGGTGGTGGCGCAGAAGCAATGCAGGCCGTGGTCTAGAACATTCCCTGACCATCTACAGGAGCCACGAAGCGCTGCAAACCCCAGGCATGAAACACGTGCTCAGGAACTCCCCCACGGCGCGTCTCCGTGCAACCTGCTCGCTTTGATAAGCACAGAAAACGAAAACTCTCAAAGCAGAGGGAAAGGAAAGCCGTGGGACCTGGGTTACAGCTGAGGAGCAGCAGCGGCCAGACCCACGGCGGACTTCTGCACGGCGATGATGGCCGCCTCCTAGAAGGAAGGGGGACTTTGGCATGGAGGGGGCAGGCGGAGGACGCAGCCCTGGGGAGGACGCTGGATGTGTCACCCCCACCCCAGAGAGGAGAGGTGCAGGGAGAGCCAGTGGAGCCACGTGGCACGCGGCAGGAGGCCCCAGGCAGAACGGTGGCATGGACCAAGGACCACGGAGATGGTAACTGCTGGCGAACTCCTACCTCGTGTGTGCATGTGTGTGTGCAAATATTTATATAAATACCAATCTTCCGAGTCTAAAGCAGACCCCAGAAGGCAGCCAGGTCAAGGCTAATTAGGTCCCTGTCACCCCCGTGGGAGATCTCAATGGAGCTTAAGCTGCTGGCTTCAGTCTGGCCCAGCCCCACCCAGCTGTTGTAGTGCAAACCAGCGGATGGGACCTTGCTCTTTAAACAACACCAGGTTCTCTAGCAGTGCCCTGGAGCCAGAAGATGGTTGGTGCCTCTCTTTCTGGAGTCATCTCACTGCCCGTGCCTAACCCTGGGGTTTCTCCGTATTCAGCCCGTGGCAATGACCGTGGCCTCACTTAAGTACAACTGTCAGGTGAAGACGGCATCCTCACCCGGGGCTCAAGGTCTCGTTTTGTGTCCATACCACCAAGCCCTCTGGACACAGTACTTCTGTATTTCCATACCCACCACCTGGCTGGAGTTATCAGGAGGCCCAGGAAGAGACCAAGGATAGCACAGAACAAGGATGACAAAACACTGTACGGAAATTCATGAGCGTAGGGTCCCTCCCACCCGCCTGCCCGGGGCAAGTCCTGTATGCCCACGGTATGCCCAGCAGGGGCGCCATTCCTGCAACCGAGAACTTAGCAATTGCTGATTTCTAGAATTTTCCAGGCTGAAGACTGCATTTGACCACGGATAGCTTGAGGCCACTGTACTACTTCCTCAGCATTGGTCTGAGGATGTAGAGGTTTGGGGTTTTTATTCACGTATTTTATTTGCAAGGCAGAGAGAAATCTCTCCCATCCATCAGTTCACGCCCCAAACGCCTGCAGCAGCCTGAGGCTGGGCCAGGCCAGAGCCAGGAGTGGGGAGCTCAGTCCAGGTGCCTCCCCCCGCCCCCCCAGTGTCTGGGTCGTCCCCTGCTGCCTCCCAGGACACACGTTAGCAGGAAGCGGGACTCGGGAGCGGAGCCCCATAGGGCACACGGGGGTTCTGTTTGAAGGTTTTCCATCTTATTTCAGAGGTGCCCTGTCCCGGTGCCGTGCTGAGCGCACCAGCATTTGTGTAGGGTCCCTGCACTGGAAAATGTGGGAGGCGCTCACGGGGTGCGGGTTCTGCGCTCTCCACGTGGAGGCTGCAGGCAGAGCTGTGGCACCACGCCCTGGCCGCCCCCAGCCCCGGCCCGCGCAGAGGATCCCCGAGCCCCCACAGAACGCCCCAAGGGGACCCTCCAGATCCGTCAATCTTTGTTAAATAAATGTATAAAAAAATACCAAAAACTACAGAATACAATGGTGACATCACCTGGTATTAATCAACATTAATGCTTTGTAACATTTGCATCAATTTTCAACAATTATATTTTTATGCCACATTGCTTTCTCTCCCTCAACAAATAGTGCCTGCTATGAATGTACCTTTCAAATCCATGTCTTATCTTTATTATACACATAGCCATAGTTATGATAGGATTTTCTTTTCTTTTTTTTTCTTTTTTCTTTTTTTATTCTTATTTTTAATTTGTGTCTTATGATAAAGCTATTGCTTTCTTAAAATCTAGATTTATTTATTTATTTGGAAGTCAGAGTTACAGAGAGAGTTAGTTCTTCCATCCGCTGGTTCACTCCCACACATCGTAGCAACAGCCAGGGCTGGGCCAGGCCAAAGCCAGGAGCCGGGAGCATCTTCCAGGTCTCCCTCGTGGGTGCTGGGGCCCAAGCACTCGGGTCATCTTCCACTGCCTTCCAGACTCATTATCATTAGCAGGGAGCTGGATTGGAAGTGGAGCAGCTGGGACTCGAACCATTGCTGGTATGGGGTGCTGGCGCTGCAGGTAGCAGCTTAACCACTGCACACAGCACTGGCCCCTTAACCAAGAAGGTTTCTGACATCTGTCGCAATCAATACAGACAGAGCTAGTTCCCATTTCCTGGGGATGCCCGTGGATGGCGAAGAGGTCCCTGCACTCAGATGTCTGTGTGCACACAATGGCGCCTCCCAGTCGCGGGGTCTAAGGTACATGCACTTTCCAACTTCAACAGATTGTGCCAAACGAGGCTCCAGGACTGTACAGTGGGGGCTCCACCAGGCGTCTCTGAGCAGTCTCACCTCT